CTTTCTCAAAATAAATAAATAAATAAATAAGAGACCAGCAGGTGGCATAATGGTTACATTGCTGGACTTCCATGTAGTTGACCATGGTTTGAGTACTGGACCCGGGGGCTTAAATTCATGCTGGGTATGTGTGTCTGTGTGCCCAAATTTCTGAGAGGAGCATGGAGGAGAAGGGATTGTGGTGTGGCCATCCCCTCTGGGGTGGTGATTTCTTGCTTTCTGTCTCTCTGTCTCTGTTTGTTCAGCAAGTACACACACCCTAGAGCAAAAATCTTTATTTAAAAAAAAATTCTTTATTTAATTTTATATATTTATTTTTACTTTTTTTTTTTTAGATGTTTTTGTCTTAGGGCACGTGCGCTCGCTGGAGAATGAAAGAGAGACAGTGAGAGAGAAAGTGAGAAATCACCCCCTAGGGGTATGGCCACACCACAGTCCCTTCTCCTTCATTCTCATCTTAGGATCTTGGGCATACATGTACATGTGCCTGGTGTGAGTTTCAAGCCACCAAGTCCAGGACTCGAAGTGTGGTTGGCCATGTGAGAGTCCAGTGGCCTAACTGCTATACCATCTGCTGGCCCCATAATTTTATTTATTACTTTTAAATTGCTATAAGACACGTGCTCAAGAGAGAGAGAAAGAGAGAGGGGAAGTGAGAAAGCAAGCCACCAGATCAGGACTCAAACCATGGTCTGCCATGTGGGAGTCCAGCACCTTAATCACCATGCCTTCTGCTGACTCTGCCATCTTAAACATTTTTAAATGTACACATTGGAAACATTAAGTACATCCACATTGTTATATATCTATAAAAAAATCTTGGATTGCCTTTTTGGCTGGAATTGGCATCTTCCAGTTATTAGGCAAAATGATGAACACAAAGAGAAAGAGGAGAGGCACCCGATATATGTTCTCTAGGCCTTTTAGAAAACATGGACTGGTTCCTTTGGCAACATATATGCGAATCTACAAGAAAGGTGATATTGTAGACATCAAGGGAATGGGTACTGTTCAAGAAGGAATGCCCCACAAATGTTACCATGGCAAAACCGGAAGAGTCTGCAATGTTACCCAGCATGCTGTTGGCATTCTTGTTAACAAACAAATTAAGGAAAAGATTCTTGCCAAGAGAATTAATGTGGATATTGAGCATATTAAGCATTCTAAGAGCAGAGATAGCTTCCTAAAATGTGTGAAGGAAAATGACCAGACAAAGAAGGAAGCCAAAGAGAAAGGTACCTGGGTTCAACTGAAGTGCCAGCCTGCTCCACCCAGAGAAGCACATTTTGTGAGAACCAATGGAAAGGAGCCTGAGCTACTGGAACCTATTCCCTATGAATTCATGGCATGATGGGTGTTAAAAATAATCTATGGTCTATATATATATATAAAAAAAAATCTTGGATTTTGTTAAAGCTTGCATTATAGCTTTAATTGGGAAGAACTGATAACTGTACTATGTTGACTTTTCCAATCCATGAACATAATTTGTCTCTCCATTTATTTAGATCTTAAATTTTTTTCTTCAGTGTTTTTACTTTTTAGCATGAAAATTACACACATACTTTATTATATTTGTTCTTAATTATTTCATTTTTAAAAGATTGTGTGTGTGTGTGTGTGTATATATATATATATATA